AAATTTACGAACCAACGCTTCTATCCAAAAGGCTGTTTTCAGTGGAGATCTTGTATCCTTAACCCTAACCTGCCTGCAGAAGAAACCAATTCTTCTGTTGCTGCTGATGACGATTGTCACGCTTGACTGAACTCGGCGAAAGACTGATGATATCTATGTGCAGCTATTCATGCCTACATATCCATGAAAAGCCGCGCATAGATATGAATAGTCTGAGATAAGAGACAGATAAATAGATATGAACTGAGATAGATAGATATGAACAGGATGAGATAGATAGATATGAACAAACTGAGATAGATACTAACTGACACTAGACATATATATATATATATATATATATATATATATATATATATATAATTATAAATATAAGTAAGTATACTGGTCCGGAAAAAAACCTTAGGTATTTTGGCTTGTAAATGAACAAACCAATATCCAAGGAAAGAAAATGAATAAAAAAAGAAAGAACTAAGAACATGTAATTCAGGCGAAAAACAGTCGTCCAGAATCCAAGTTCAGAATCAAAAAAAAAAAAAAAACCTCCGACATGTAAAGTAAAAATAACTAAGCAAAGTGCTCAATACATTAAGTAGACCAAATCTAACTACGAACTAAATTAATAATATAATTGGTCAATATATATATATATATATATATATATATATATATATATATATATATATAAATTTTCAAGAGGATAGAATCCAGGTAGAACTCAATGTCAAGGACAGATTAAGAATATAATATAAAGTCTCAAATACTAATATTTCATGGTTATAATTTATTACATTGGAATCGTAATCAAGATCCAATTCCTCAAATCAAAATTTTAGTGAAACTAAAATTTTGTTTTTTATACCCGGAGTTATATTTTCTGATTTCTTTTTGAATTTGTAGGTCTGATCAATTGGATCGTGATTACAATTCCAATGTAATAAATTATAACCATGGAATATTAATGTTTGAGCCTTTTATATTATATATATATATATATATATATATATATATATATATATATATTTAAAGATATTTTTGTAGGTACAAAATTTAATGATCGAAATAAAAGTATAAAATTTAATATTACAAGACATATTAAAACAGTATTAAATAATAATAAAAAAAAACAACAATATTTTTTTCCACCTATTCTTATTGTACATTTCTCTGTTTTAATTTTGAATCTCCCGTGGAAGGCCGGAAGAGCGGGAGCGAAACCGGTTGCTCCCCACCCCCTTGTTGTTGTGTTTTTTTTATTATTTAATATTGTTTTAATATGTCTTGTAATATTAAATTTTATACTTTTATTTCGATATATATATATATATATATATATATATGTGTGTGTGTGTGTGTATATATATATGGAGAAACAGAGAGAGAGAGAGAGAGAGAGAGAGAGAGAAAGAGAAAAAAAAGGACAGCCATTGAGCAGTACTAAATAAGAAGCAGAGAAGATATAGCTTTAGATACAGTGGCAGAACATAGTGTGGGCAGGGAGGGGCAGATACACCGGGGTACAACATCATGGGGAGCAAATTCGCTCGGTGGATTGGCAAGTTTATTGCCAGGACTGGGGGTGAATTGCAACCGAAATGTTCCACTACGAATAATTTTATAATAAAAACATGTGTAAAAATCTCGCCTAAGTCAACCTAATCTAACCAAACTTATTATATGTAGTAAAAAATTAAAGCCCAAGTTAGGTTAGGGTAGGCCATGTTTTCGCCATATTTATCGGCTAAAATGCTGGGAAATTAAAAAAAAGTGTTGAAAGGAGGAGCTAAAATTTCCTCCATTTTATTAACTTTAAATATCTTTTTGTGACTACCCACAGATACTTATTTCATTAATGATGCATCGTGAATTCTTTTGGTGACGTCACTCAGAAGTTCTTCGATCATGCGCAGTGCCGATGGAAGCAAATGCCTGCCAAAACGTGAAATGTGTTAAAGAAACAAGAAGTGTTGTTTAATTCTGTTTTCCCCCGGTTGAGGTTAGATTGAAAACTAATCCATAGTAATGTTTTAAGATGTTTCTTTGTAAAATGGTAATAATGGTAATTTTTCTCCTCGCCTCAATTGGTAGATCATAGCATTTCAATGATTATATGAAAGATTTAGACATGAACTTTTTGTAACACGGTGTCGGATATAACGTGCCGTATATTCCCATATGCAGTGTTTTGATACGAAAAGATTCACAAGTTTTATGGCATAATTTTGGCTGTGGTTAGCGATGGCAAAAGCTTTGCAGGGTGTTTTTTTTTTGTAGCCTTGCATTATTATTATTTTATTTCCTTTGATTTCTGATGTGTATTCATTTCTTTTCGGGTCCTGCCCAGGGACCTAAGGTTAGAAATAGCATCATGACACTTTCCACTGCAAAAAAATATCAACTGATGTTGTAATAAATATAGCAACAAAGATGAGGACAATAGTCCGAATAAAGTAAATAATGTACATAATACCTCATCTCAGAAATATAGACAGATACTGAA